GGAACTATTTCTTTTTCATCGGGCATATGTACCTATTTATACTGTACATTTTTTTAAGTTACCGTAATATTCAAACAGAGTATTTACGTTTAAAGATGTGACCTATTTAAAAAAAAAAATTTATAAGGAGTGCGAGATCGTATTTTGAGAAAAAAGGGTTACAGGCTGCAGTAGAAATTAAGAGCCGCTTTTCTAGACTTCACTGGCCTAGTCTTACATTCGCTTTCTTGCGTTAAGCATCATGTCCTTAAACAGATGAATCCAGAATCTTTTCTGTCTTTTTTGCAACTTCTGCACAAAAACGTCAGTAATGCTTAGTGCTGCGTACGGACTGCATTAAAATCACGGACGCATTTCATGTGTGTGTAGTGTATGAATGAAAGTTCTCATTTTGTGTAAAATATGAGGAACTTTATTTATAAGGGTTTTAGAGAGGATTTTTTTTTCTGTCTCCGACCCATTGGACCATAATTCTGCCTCTGACTCATTAATCCACCCCACAAGGCGTGCAAGAGGCTGCAGAACTACATGTAACACATGGTGCTAATGGGCGCTAAATTTACACCATTGCGCAGCGAGGCTGTCAGTACACAATTATGGCTGTGCCACGATCCGTCCGAAACAAATTGCTTCTAGCGTGAGAACAGTCCAAAGCATTCGACTGGAAGCAGACCTGACTGGCCATTTAAGATACTATCTACGAAATTGTTCAAGTGGCTGATCAAGTAATAAATTAATGGGTTACATAACTAAGAGACTGATTAAATTGACTGGCTGAGTAAACATATGTAAATAATTGAGTAAGTAATCAGCTAAGGCCGCGCCATAGCTCAAGCAGTTAGGCCCCCCATACACACACGGTTTGGCCTCCCGTTCGGCCTACACAGTTCAAGGCTGAAAGGCAAAACTGATGTGTGTGGTGCGGCCGGCCGCCCAATCGTTTGGACTTTAGGAAACGCGTCAGTCCGTCAGTTCTACCTGCAGGTCGATCGGCAGGCCAAACTGTGTGTGGGGGGCCTTAGTCGCTAGCTTCCCACCGCGGCGGCCCGGGTTCGATCCCGGGTCTTGTCTATTGGGATTTGTGGTGGACAAATTGGCGCTTTGGCAGGTCGTCTCCGAGTGCTTCGGCTTCCCCTGCCAATCTTCATTCCACCAATTGCTCCACAATCACCCTCACCTATCATCTGTGGCTGGTACAGTAGGCCAGAAGTGGCCGCAGTACAAGGGACTTAGTCCCACCCCACTAGCAATAAGTAATGAGCTCAGTGATTGGAGTAACTGACTGACTGAATAAGTAAACGAAACTAAGAGACATAGTGAATAATTAATTAAGACGTTTACTTGACTAACCAGCTGATTAAATGACTTAGTAATTAGATGAATAACTGTCCTATGATTAATTAAGCAGCTGTTCGACAATCGGATGATTAAGTAACCAAGAAACTGATCTGTTACTCAAGTAAATGCCACCATAATTAATTAAATCGTTGTCTAAGTACCTACCACAATTGTGTTTGTAAATAAAAATTTAAGAGGGCAGTAAAATTAAAATTATCATTTAGTTGTCTGCCTTACTGAGTAAATTCTTAAGGGTTTTGAAGATAGTGTATAACACTCAGAATTATTCATTCAGTGACTGAGATCAGCACTTTCTGTCTGTCCCAACAGAGTAGGTGTGTCTATCCTCACCTGAGGACGGATACAGATCCAGTTTCCGAAACGTTGGTTATCTACTTTTTAAAATACTAGACGATGGGCGTAGTCAAAATCCCAGTAATCACGAACCTCACTAAATAAGCAATTAACTGTCTAATATAGTAAATAAGTAAGAAGCCTAACACTTTAATTACGCACCTAACAGACTGGCTAAGAAAGTATTAGTCAACCCATCCGCTGAACAACTCGACTAGCGAAGTAGCTGACTATTTGAAAAATATCCAAGTAACAGAAACAGTACACTGAGCATTTGAGTAGCTAAATGGATTGTTAAGTAACTAGCTAAGTAACTCATTCATTAACCCCTAAGTTTCTAGCTCTCAAAGGGAAGAGTGAAGTAAACGTCTTAATTCCATAAGTAACGGACTTAGGAACAAACTTAGTAACAGGAGCCGGATTGGCGTAGTCGGTATAGCGACTGGCTATGGGCTTCGAGTCCCGGCAGAGTCAAGAATTTTGACCTCCAAATATCCAGACCACTCGACCTCCTATCCAAAGGGCACTAGGGGCTCTTTCCCCCGGGGGGGNGGGGGGTTAAGCGGCAGGATCATGAAGCTGACCACTCACCTCCAACTAGTGCCGAAGTTAAGAAAATATGGATCTATACATCCACTCTCCACACGTCTTCATGGCGTAGTGCTTAATTAGTTAAGCACAAGAACAGCTTTACTCTTTTTACTTTTAACCGATAAAGTAAGAAACAGTATGTTTAACAGCAAAGCATCGTGCTTAGTTATCTGTTTCACTGTGATGTAGGGAGGGCGAGGTACGCAAACAATTCAGTAACCAGAAACTTCATCATGTTTTTCCCAGTTCCTATATGCTTAGGCAGTGAAATCTTAAAGAGACCGAGATGGTCTAAATATATACGAGTATAGCATGGATCTGTGAGCAAAGAAATACATACAGTTTTGTAAAATGCCGTTAATATACCAGCGTCGAATTCAAATATTGACAGTGATTGTTAGGTTAATTACTGAAGCTTCAAGTGCAGAAACATTAAATTGCTTCCGATAATGATCATCTATGCTCATCAAGAATTCGTTCCAAGTAGCCATTAACCCAGTTGAAGGTACTGCATGTACCGGTATTAGATTGAATAAACCTACAGAATTATCACGCAAGGTTATGTGCCAGCCGAAAAACCCGGAACGTCATTGCTACGCTCATTTGCTCGGTTTAAAATGAATTTCATGTAATTCTTTGGATCGAGTATGTTGATGAAGGCGGGGTGCCTAAAGCCGTAGGTTGTGTTAGTAATTGTTTCGGTGAAAGCATTTAAAATAAGGATTTAAATGAATGGGAGTTTCATTCGAGCCTGTAGACACAGGAATATCTACACCTGTTATACACGTCACTCTTTTACTGTCTATACAGAATGTAATATACCCACGCCTCTTCTTATGCCTGATGATCGATGTATATAATATCGAGTCACCAGTTATTCATCGACGATTTATCAGCTGCTTAGGTCGGTGAGGCGCTAACGCTCTGGACTTGTATCCTTGAGGTTCTCGGTACAAACCTCGATCATGTGGTCAGCTATTCAGACTGAAACTTTTAGAGTTCTCCTCTCGTCCTTCGGGCAAATGTCGCTATAATGCTTCAGCTAAGCTACGACTTCTTCGGAGTCGTATCCAATTTGCTATAAAATAAATAAAAAAAGTCGAAGAGTTATGTCTTCTGGAATATAATGCTATTTAGTCGGGTGAAGGTTGACTGTCGTGAGAGGAATAATCTTCATTGACATATGTATCTCATTTTTTCTTTTTTTTTCTGTGGCGCTACAGACCCAATTTGGGCCTACCTCCATGAAACTCTCCGTTTAACTTCGGTTTACTATATCTTAAACATTCGGTAGGACTCCTTGGGCCAGTGATCAGCTTGTCGCAAGGCCTCTACCTGTAGACAAACACAAAAACGCACACAAACATCCATGTCCTGAGTGGGATTCGAACCCACGATCCCGGCTTCCGAGCGAGCGAAGACAGTGCATGCCTTAGACCGCTCGGCTACCGTGACCGGATGTGTATCTCATAACATGCACGATGTGTGTTCGGAAGATTACTAGTTTGAATATAGTGTTAGTAATTATCGTGCATACAATCATATCTTACCACAGGCGTTGTACAGATTTTGTATTATATATCATTTTGTATGTGTGTGCAATTATTTTTCCAGTTGTGTTGCGTGGAAAGGAAGTCCCAGACATTGAGGGAAAAGTATGAACTGTTCAAGTGGTTCCAAACAAAATGCTTGTGAAAATAATGTGAAGCTAAGAAAACTGAAATAGAAGGACAATTGAGGATATTCCATACAAATCGATTTCTCGATTCATAAACGGGATGGAAGGAAACGACAATTAGATTTATATTCCTTCAACGAAATTTTGTTTGGCTCATGGACCACCTACGGGACTCATGAGTATGTGGTTATAAGATCGAATTTTAGTGCTGTTGAATTTTTACTTCTCGTAATTTTAATAAATACGCTATACATATTTGCAGTTTTTTTTTCACTATATATTCCTAGTTCCACTGAATTTTTGGTTATCACCATCAAACCGGAATCTACATTAAGAACTTATGCAGTCCTAGTTTTCTTCTTTTAGTTTCTACAAAGGAGTTGTCTTAATGTGTCGTATTTTTCGAATATATTACCTTTCGTAAATCCTGTTCCTAGATTAAGTGTCAGTAGTGTTTCTCCCATCTCACAGGTTCGTGCGTCGACCATGTTGTTATTAAGCACTGTCGGTAATAAAAAATTACAGGGCTGAAATTGCATTTAATAGCGTAAAGCGCACACTAAATTTTAAAATCCTGTCAAGTGGTTCAAAATAAAATCCCGGAACAGCCACACAGAGAGCGCGGTAATCTGTCAGACCTGCATATTCTTTACGGAATGAAAGTGATCTATGAATAAGCTTAGTATTCTGCGACAACGAGAAGAGATTCATTGTTAATTACTTGCTTATTTTATAATATTGTATCGGTCCGTAAGTTTATATAACGCCAAATATTGTAATGATTATGAATTTTGAACTAAGTGTCTTACACCGTTTATAAGATATAACTTACCTTATTCTATCTATGAATACCCTGTTTAGGGCATTCAATCACCGAGTGGGGTAAAAAATGTGAGCTGTCGCCTTGCCAATTTGCCAAGGTCATGGAAAGCCAGTACAGATGTTTTAAGGGTACATGTTTATATCATTTTAGTCAATATGTTCACAGATATGCATCTCGCCTTGCTGCTGATGTGATGTATTCACTGATTTGTTTCAGAACAATCTGCTGCCATCTGGTGAGAAGACCGTGAAAGGCACCAGTATTACAATTGAGCAGGCAAATAGGCACCAGGCCGGAGTGTATCAGTGCACCGCCTCCAATGGGGTGGGGGAGCCAGTCACCCAGAACATCACCCTCAATATCCTCTGTAAGTGACAGATATGTACAATTCTCAACATGTAAGTTTTGAGGTTTTCACGGCGATGACAATGAAGAAAGTCGTCTTCTGGGTTTAGGCACCGTGTATTCTTCGTTTTGGCCGACGTTTCGGAGGAACGTAGCACCTCCATCTTCAGAGCAGTTGAATGGCTTGGAATGCGGAGAGCAGCAGCTACTGCTCTCCGCATTCCAAGCCTAAACGGTGCCTAAACCCAGAAGACGACTTTCTTAATTCTCAACATGTTTACTTTTCAAATGTTTTTGCCACATGTCTGCGGTTCTCTTGAGCTCACTCATATGTCAGATGTAGTATGTTGGTCCAGTGTGTGTTGTGCAATTGTGCTTGTGAGTGACATTCTCAGTTAACCTTCGGGAACACTAGTGAATTGAACTATTCTGAGATTTTAAAACTTGGAGGGCTTATTACTTCATAAAGATAAGAAAGTTGGGCAGTAAAATGGTTGGTAATTTATTTAGCAGAATTATGGGAAATGAAAACCTTTTTGCACATGGTACAGATGATTTGGTGAATATCGTATTCTGGGATGTGGCGCCGCGTGGATCTTGTGTGAACCGACGTTTCTGAGGATTGAATCGCCTCCATCTTCAGGGTTGAAAAATCCGAGAACGAGGAACCAGCTTGAGCAGGTGGCTGAAGACTCAGACCTGGTTTTCCTGGGCCATCCTAATGGCATATTTAACACTTCATGCAACTTTTTAAAAATTCTTCAACTTGTGTACAATGACGTTCTGAAATCAGGAGTACACGTATGCATATTTTACAAAAATGCTATTTGCAAATGTTTGCTGTGTTACAGACATAAGCCTGTTTCTGACAATTAATTACATTAAATATAACACACCAATAAGAGTCAGCTCCTTAACTGTTTATCATGAAATTATACTCCATAACGCAACAGATTAGTGGATCCCGAAATTTCAACATCATTAGCACAAAATGTATCATTGCACACTCTCGTAGGTCAGTCACATGCATCCGATCCCTACGATCCAACTTTGTATTTCCCCCCTATTTCATTTCTATTCCTGTAAGAAATTCTCAAATTACCTCACAGGTTCTCTACGCAGTTCTTGTTTCACACATGAGTGTTTGTCTGCTCATTTTGATCTTGACTTTAATTGAAACTGTTGCACTTGGTTGTGTTAAATATATTGTGACGTGTTGCGCTACGGTAATAGGTAGGTCAACATCCTCTCCCCCCGCCAGCGGTGACGTGCCGAGCGGAGCCGAAGTGAGCCGAGTCCAGCGCGCTGGTCGCTAGGCAAAGCGAGCAAACTGTGGTTGCTAGAGACAACGATAATAACAGCGGTACTCATTACGTAACAGGCAAACACTGCGACTATATAAGGGAACTGCACAGCCGCCTAAGACAGTTGAATTGTAGTAGTCGCCGAGTTCAGTTGTAACGAGTGAATCGTGATAGTGTGAATTGATTATTGTATAGGGTTGTAAATTGTGTAAACCCATAACATTGTTATAATTAACTGTAACCGATACTCGTAGGTTGTTAAATAAACCAATTAACAATCCGAATGGCGTCTTCAGTAACGAAACCCGTTACATTGGTGTCATAATTGTTTACGAACTTAAACACGCCTTAACTCAGGACAAACTATTGAAACAAATTGTACTGCCACACGATGGATATGGAAAAATTGTTCGAATGCCTAGTGCAGATGCAAGACAGAATAGAGGCCAATCGAAAGTAAGACAAAGAGGATTTCCTGGCGAAATTAGAATTCAATCAAGAAAAAGCAAATATCATGCCGACTCCAAAGCCTGGCGAGAAGATTGGCCACAAAAAGAAGAGCTATCGAAGCAGAGACAATAGCCTGCCGAGAAACGACGGAGGCGCATCTAGAAAAAGAAGTAAAGACGATAGCCTACCAAGAGATGGAGGTACGTCTAGTAGAAGAAAAGCCGGCCCCAGTGGACACGAAACCTGCGGCTGCACAACAAGAAGAGGTCTCCATTGCAATACCGGTCGGAGTGACGATGGCCTGCTGAGAAATGGAGGCACATTCAGAAGAGGAGCCGGCCTCAGTGAATATGAAACCTGAGACGGCAGAACAACGAGCGGTACCCGAAGAAGACGCTGAAGTAATGCCGGTTGGAGAACCGAAGAAGAAAAGGCGTAGGGACCGAAACAAGCGACGAAATATGAAGAATCTGAGGCGGTGAATTTGTGGACCCCGCATGAAGTTGGCTGCCTCCTGCAAGAAGGTGTCCCGCCGTGCAACAGTGGTATGGCTCAAGAGGAACATCTTCAGGAAATCTTCGACCCACAGAAAGTGTGGACCGCGGTAAGAAGTGACCGCTGCCGGAATAAAGATTACACGCTGTGCAGGACAGGCGTGTGGGACGAAAAGCAGACAATGTTGAACAAGAAACCTGGAATAGGAGAACTGGAATAAAGAACATAGGCGGCAGACAGCCGCTATGTCAGAAGAAAAAGGTGTCAAACAAGAACGCCGTCGGAGGGTGTAGATCAGGAAAGCGATCGCACCAAGGAGGGAGAATTTGTAAGAAGACGATCTACGAGATTGTCAGCGTGAAGATCGCGAAGCGAATGGTCGGATCTTCTGCCGGATTACGACAAAACAAGGGATGGAACTTATGGAGGTGTAGTCCCCCTCCAAAGCGGAAAAAGAAACAACGGATCGGGGAGGAGCCGGTAACGTAGAAGTACCGACCTCCCGAGCAAGAGTGAATGTGCGATGGATGGGTGAATGTGATCTTCTGGCTTAAAAGGGAACCGCTCGAGACGAGCTTTGTCTTAAGAGGGGAGCGGATGTATCGGAAGAAGAATAGTCGCTGCAAAAAGAGTAGCCGAAACAACAGGAGACACTGCAAACAACAGCAACGGGAAGAAAAGGAACGGGGATGCACCGTTAGGCTATTCGGGACGAACAGCCTTAAGGAGGGAGCAGTGTGACGTGTTGCGGTACAGTAATTGGCAGGTCAACATCCCCCCCCCCCTTCCAGCGGTGACGTGCCGAGCGGAGCCGAAGTGAGCCGAGTCCAGCGCGGTGGTCGCTATGCAAAGCGAGTAAACTGTGGTTGCTAGAGACGACGGTAATAACAGCGGTACCCATTACGTAACAGGCAAACACTGCGACTATATAAGGGAACTACACAGCCGCCTAAGGCAGTTGAATTGTAGTAGTCACCGAGTTCAGTTGTATCGAGTGAATCGTGATAGTGTGAATTGATTATTATGTAGGGTTGTAAATTGTGTAAACCCATAATATTGTTATAATTAATTGTAGCCGATAATCGTAGGTTGTTAAATAACCCAATTAACAATCCGAACGGCGTTCAGTTCAGTTCAGTTCAGTCAAAGATCAACTTTATTGTAAGGCTGCAAACGGTTACATGTTTCGGCTTCATTCTTACGCCATTATCAGAACATTCAAATAGAATGGGTAGAAAGGAAATTTCACGTGTTATTTAGCAGTGTTGCTGATGGGCTAAGGTAATGTTCTGTTTTGGTTAGTCCAGTGCTTAACGATAATGTATATAGAAGTGTCCATAAAGACTGATTGCATAAAATGAAAATGATGTCGAAGTGGCACCATAATGGAGCAAAGGTTATATAGTGATCTGTATAGAGCTGTTTTACGATTACCCATATATGGAAAATGGGACATTTACGGATGTGTTAATGACATACTTGTGAGGTGACAGTGAGCTAGCTGTAGACTGAACATGCAGATAAATATAATAAGAGTGGAATCTACCAATGCTCCGATTATTTCAGTATTTAAATGGGCTAAACAGATCGGAATTTTAAAATTAGATATAGAGACTCTGTCAATGATGTCAGAAGCAACAACAACACACCTAGATCTTTCTTTTCACTGAAATGTAGTGTTGATATTTTACACATCCACAAAAAAATATAAATATCTCAGTATTCTCGAACAATTCCACATTTGCGGTAAAGTTCAGTAGAGATTCCCAATACAAGAGACTTGTGAAGACGTCTGTAATCCCATCTTTGACGTCATTTTCAAGTATAAGACAACAGAACAGAAAAAATTGTTCTTGAATCCGCAACTGACTTGCAGACAACCCTCGAGCACCGTATCAACATCGCCACTACACACAGTACAACGTAACTACACAACACTTTTGCTGCGTCTGGCTCACAGCCACCTCTTAACCCTTTGACGCAGTCATTTAAATTCCGCGGCCGCGTTTCCGACGGTAATATATTCAGCCGGCCATTTAAATTTTGCTCGAAAATGATTTATTCATCATTGTTCTTAAATTCTATGAGATAGGAACATGAAACTTTCACTAAAATGATCTTAAAAGGTGGTTTTATAACCTTGCTTTATAATATGCGCGCCCGGTATCTCGGCAATGGAAGCAGTTCGTTTAGAATTTGAGCAGTGTATCGTACGCCTTGAAGCATGAAACTTTCACTAAAATGATCTTAAAAGATTGTTTTATAACTTTGCCTTATAATATGAGCGCCCGGTATCTCGGTGGTGGTTCAGAATTTGAGCGGAGTGTTGCACGCATTGAAGCATTCTACTATACACAGCGCTGACTCACATCACCATACCAGTACTGCGTATCTCTCATTTGGCTCTTTTTTCCGTAAACAAAACATCTTCTGTGCGGCCTTGCCTNTCTTTTATAGAAAAGTCACTTAATGACTACAAAATTACTCCTCCGTTGTGGCATCGCTTCAGTTTTATATATATTTCATACGATCAGTCTTCAGAAACACATACAGCTGTGTCTTACCATTTAGTACTAGCTAATGAAAAAAGATAACCACATCAGTCCATAAGAAACACTACTTAAAAATATGTAGAACATTCTCTCTACACATTCTTTTTGAAAGCTTTGTCGAGTGCATAAGATTGATGCATAAATACGCCAAGTTTTTAATTATTACAAATGAAGTTGTTTGTTTACCGAGAGTTTAATATGTAATTCAATCCAATTTATTT